CCCCAGCCTCCCCAGCCTCTCCATCCTCTTCAGCCTCTCCATCCTCTTCAGCCTCCCTAGCCTCTCCAGCCTCCCCAGCCTCCCTAGCCTCTCCAGCCTCCCCAGCCTCCCCAGCCTCTCCAGTTTCAAACCACACTGAAGCTGCTGAGGACCACCAAGGTCAGCGCACAGAGGAAGGTATCCTTTCACCTTTGTCACTCAGGAAATGCCAAGGGTTTTCAGCACCAGGATCGAAAACCAAATCCTTATTCCCCATTGTAACACGGTGGTTTCTGAGGCCTTTGGGGTGTTGACAGGACCACAGTAGTGACCAGTGTCCAAAGGCCAGTGAACTGAGGGAGTAGGCCAGGACCGACGTCTGTGTCCCTCACATGGGACTTTTGACTGTATGCCTGACCCAAGCTGCTATTCCTAAAATCTACAAAGGTAGGAAGATGGAACTTCTAAGGGGGTATTTTAACCTATAGGGACAAGGAAACACTTAAAGGTTAGGAGCTTTCAGACAAACCATGATCATTATGATTCTACGAGGTACGTCAGAGGAGGTATGGAAGCGAAGCTCAGAGAGAGACTAGAGAACTTGTCCAAGGTCACACAGCTGTGGCAGAGGGACATAGGTGCATCTATCTGGTTGGGACATAGATCCATTGGACACTGGGCCTTCCCCCCACCTTCTTCCTCCTCGCCACAGCACCAGAACAAAAGCAGAACATATCAGCCACCTCCCAGCTTTAGGGACTGGCAGGATTCTTTCAGGAAGGAATATAATCAGGAAATTTCCATCTCCGCAGAAAGTAGAACCGAAGAAAATGAATGATAATTAAAGCATAAAGGATTTAACTTAATCCTAAGGAAGAGCTTTCCAGTGGTAAGGTTAATTAAACACTAACGAGATTGTGTTTTAAGAAAAAAAAAATGAAAAGCCTCTAAAATTCTGCTTCCAGATTCCTGTTTATGAAGACTCACATGAAAACAGCAAGAAGAAATTCTAGTTGCGGGGGGGGGGGGTTCATTTTGCAAGTTAGTTGAAGTGTTTGCACACCCAAGTTCTTCAAAATTGACTACGGGCTGAGTTGAGTGTGTGATCATTAAGATCAGTCTTGCTTTCTGGGGTCTAGAGCAAATGTTAATAATGCTGAACTCTCACATCCTGAATTTCAGGTTCAGAATATATACTAGCTTTTGTCATAATGTCATGAATATTGTTGTATTTGATTATGAACAAAGCACGTGGCCTCAGGTGCTGATTTCTACATTCATGTCATGCGGTGCCTGGGAAGGTGAATGGGTGCAGACCCTCCTGGCCCCCATCTCCTGCCACACGCTGCAGAAGCTCTCCTACCTCCCCCAGGGCTTTGGACTGGATCTTTGCAGCAGACACATGACTGTCTGAGATCTCTCTTTTTTTTTTAAATATTTATTCTTAAGCTTTAGGTGGATACAATATCTTTATTTTTAAATTTATGTGGTGCCGAGGATCGAACCTGGTGCCTTGTGCATGCTAGGCAAGCGCTCTATCACTGAGCCCCAGCCCCAGCCCCTGAGAACTCTTATTCCACCCCAGTTCTTTGCAGAATCAGGGCAGTCTTGGGACAGGAGCTTTGGGTGACTTCCTATGCTGTGGGGTGGGGGCAGGGCATAAAATGAAGACGACAACCCCAGATTCCACACATTCTGTGCCCTCCACTGTCTCCTCCTTCCAGACCTGGGTCAGGGTCCCCCAGCCCCATCCTTTCTCCCCACTCTACTTTTTACACCCAGGTCTGTTGTTCTTAGTCTGTTGACAAAATGCCCAAGAGAATGGTAGTTTCCCTTGGACGTGGATGAATACACTCTTAACTCGTGGACTACTCCAGAGACCAGCCCTTTCCATCTGCAGAACTGGAGAGGGCCACAGAGCCCAACCTGGGGATCAAAGTAATAGGAGAGGCTGAGCAAGGAATGGCCTTGAGCAATGATGAAACCTGAGTGTTGAAGTTTCAAATGGCCACACCATTGGACCTAGCCATTCCACCTCTGAGTGTCAAGTCCAAATAAGCAATGAGAAGACAGAGAAGGGCTGAACAGCAAGACATACCATGTTCATAGACGAGAGGTCCCAATGTAATGAAGTTTCCAAATTATTCCCATTTCACAGATGAATAACCAGATGCACAGGCTAATTAAATAACCTAAGGCCATACAGCTGGTAATGGGTGATACTGAGAGAGGAACTGGGGACATAGAGAAAAAAGATACATGGAATCTCAAAAAAAAAGTGCCCATGAGCTTTTGGAGCCAAGAAACACCCATGAGCCAGCAGAACAAGCAGCTCAGAGCACCCAGCCTGTACCTTAAGCACAACGTGAGGGCCGTGGGCAAGGCAAGGAAAACTAGCTCAACATTGCAAAACTCGCCCAGCTCCACCCACAGCCCAGCCCCTGGTTACTGTTGCTGGTGAAATAGTAGCACCCAGACCAAGGTGGGGGGCTTCTCACACTCAGGAAATCCCAGCTCACTCTCTTTCCCTCACTTTCCTAAGTAAATCTGTTGGTACCTCTATCCCACACATGCTTAAATTTCTTTCCACGATGTTTGTCAAAAACCCCACTAGTTCTGATTCCCGTGGGGATTCCTCAGACCTCCTCCAGTGACAAAACTATGATTCAGAACCAGCAGTCTGGACCAGAGGCCCCCTGCCCCCTTGCCTGTCCTCTGTGCTCCTGGGGCCCAGGACACATCCTCACAGTGTGTTCCCTGCACTGCCTATGTTTCCTCCACCACAGAAGAGTGGGAATCGTACCTTTTCACCTTGGCATCTCCAAGTGCCCAGCATGGAAGGAACATGCAAAATATGCATATTGAACCAAACAGAATGGACTTGTCTAATCCCTGGGATTTATGCTCCAGCCTTTACAGAATTCTTTGTGAATTAGGACCCAGACATAGGCCAGAATTCACAGATTTAATAATGATTCTTAAGAAAAATGGTTTTCTTAGCTGTTTCCCTTTCCTGGTTTGGGGTTGTTAAATAATTTAAATGACAGATCTAGAATTTATTTTTTAATATGACTTTCTAAATAGGAAATGCCAGAACATTTCTCATCATTTTATTATTTGAGAGTAAGGATCATGTAATTTCTTATTTCTTTTTCTACACTAGGGGTGCCTAATAAATATTAAATACTGATGCTATCATTACAACTAAAGAGGAAAGCAACAACACCTTCTCTTTAAAAATAGGAGAATTTATGGCTAGAGAAAAAAAAATACGAAAAGATTTATTCATGCCCTTTATGTTTGCAACAAAAATCCTAAATCTGAGAGAGCTTTATGAACCTGTGAATATGAAATAGTTAAACCATCAACAAAAATTAGCTTAAGAAACTGTTGTCACAGGACTCCCAAGCCAGAGTGTGGACACTTAGGTCCTCCTTGGGTTATTTGATACCTTTCTGTTTTAAGGTATTTGCAATATTACAAATAACCAATCCCCTATTCCCTCGCCACTGCAGCTAAAATATATCCAAGTCACCTCTTTGCCTCTTGACCTCTTAGCATTCCTAGGATTTTATATATCTCACATCAGAAATATCTATAGAGAAAACGACTTGCCACTAACAAGGTTCAATCATGAGGTTCAAAAAAGTCAGAAGAGACTAGGAAAGTGTTCTGGTAACCAGTATTGGCTTTTTATAAGACCCATCATTTTGGTCAAAGTCCCCCAGAGAAATAGAATCAACTGGACACACACACACACACACACACACACACACACACACTGGCTTGCAGGAACCAAGGAGTGTATTTTTTGGGGGGGGAGGGGGATCTGAATTCTGCAGGTAGACCAACAAGCTAGAACCCCAGACAGGATGGGTGTTGAAGACTTGCTTCTGCCTGGTCAGAGTGATGTGTCTTCCTGCTCAGAAGACGGCAGTCTTCTCCTGAGACCTTCAGCCGACTGGGGGAGGCCTGCCCTGAGATGGAGGGTAGTCGGTCTCACTCACTAAGAGCCTCCTGATTTAAAAGTTAATCACATCTTTAAAAAGCAAAAACCTTCACAGCAACATCTAGATTGGTGTTTAAGGGCACAGACATGGGCACCACAGCCCAGCCCAGTTAACAAGCAAAGTTAGCCACCGCGGCCATCAATATTCTTTGTTGTGCCAGTTACTGCAGCTACAATTCTTTCAGCCAATAGGAAGATGATAACCTTTAGATTTCTCCCGGGACAGAGAAAACTAGTTCCTTCTTCAACCATGTGAAAGCTGGTGACTTCCTTGGCTTATGGAGTACACCACAGTAGGTTTTAAAGCTTTGGGGGCGAGCAGGGTGGCTTTCTCTCCCTTTGGCAATGTATTTCTGTCCCATAGACTCTTCCAAGGAGATCTCCAGGATAAGTAGCTATCACATTCCACCACAAGGCATCTCTCATCAACTGAATTGTCTCAGGTGCTTTGAGACAGTAAGTAATTGGAATCCCTTCATTTATAAATCTGTGTCCTGGATTAAACATTCATGGCACCCAGACGGTGCACAAACACACCGTGTTTGACCTCCAATGAAAGTTTCATCAGGATCTGACAGCAGGGGTTTCATGAGCCCTGAGCAGCAGGTGTGCTCTCTGTGCTGGCCAAAGCAGGGACATCCCCAGCCTTCTGCTCCAGCCAGACCTCCCTCCCGTCTAAACAATTCCTGCTTCCACTTCTTCACATTACCCAAACAGGTATGGAAGTCTCCAGTGGGGAGCAAAGCCCTCCAGAGCTGGATTTAGAGGAAATAACAAGGAAGATTGTATTTCTTGATAAATGGAGGGAAATCTTTAGTTATCACAGGTAAGAGGTGTTGTTCTCCCGTTTCTCCAGAGACAGAGGGGCTTGGGGTGTTAAGTAATCAACTCTGATGCTTGCTGCATGAGGAGTTTCCATTAGAGATGCACATTTGGAATGCTTGCTGGGGAGCTGTCGACAAAGACTTCCCCAGCGAGGCTGGGGCTTGGGGAGGTTCCGGAATGTGAGCTTGGGATACAGTGGGTAATTTACTCCATGTTTTCTCCTTCACTTATAGGTTGGGAACCAATAATGCAACTCCGCAGGTAATTACTTTCCCCCCCGGGGTCAATGTGTTTTCCTCTAGTAGCTTCTTCAAACAATCACATTAACAGCACAATCTGCATTTATTCAATGCACATAATGTCACTCAGGCACTAGCATTTAATGCGTGAAAGCTGGAGAGACTAGAAAGCCTGTGAAGATTTTATCTGGTGCTTTCTCCCTTCAGAAATGTCTTCTTACTTTTAAGAGCTACTTTTCATCATTAAGAGCACCATATGGTTATTATTTTAGAAAAAAAGTAATAGAATTTGAAGTTCCTACGCTTGTGAAATAACACTAGAATCTGACAAACCAGCGCATCCAATGTCCCTGAAGAAAAGTAATTTTGAAAATAGTTATCATCTTTATTCAGCATCTGACAAACTGCTTTCCTTTACCATTTTCAAATAAGGGAGAGATGACTGAATTCAGGTGTTAAAAAAAAAAGGTGTTTTGTCATCAGTATATTAAAATCTCTTACTCAGTATAAGATGAAAGATGTTTGTACCTCACGTAACCTGCAGAGGTTGAGAGGTAATGGACTTTGTACTGCAGGCAGTACATCAATTTCTGAGCCAACACGGCATAAAATATTTAGGTGATTTTCCTAGCACTAATACATATGATCAAGCAATTGGATTATTAAAATTTTAACTGTAATGCTAAAGCATCTTGCTTCAAGTAACCTGTGATCAAAAGCCTTATTTGTGCTAAAGCCTTCTTAACCATAGTCTAAATTAGAATCTGGGAGATAATACTTCTATTTTCGTCCTGGAAGTATTAAATGGAGATAGCTACATTTGGGGGGATAAAACATTCAAAAGATAAAACAATCTCTGAAAGGAAAAAGTAAATAAGTGTCAAGTTATGCTCTACACAGGGCGGGGAAACCCCACTGGCACAAATGTAAAGATTTTCCATTTGATTTACAAAATGCATCTTCTCCCATCAGTAGCCTGTGCCTCAGATGCTGCGGTTCTGAGATAAGAAAGCATCTTTGCCTCTAGGAATACAGAAAAATGAAGAAGGCCGCGTCCTTCGCATTTCATCTCCAATGGGGTAGTTCCTTTCGCGGTGTTAGTACCCATGTTGAATAAATCAGAGAAAGCGTGGAGGCTAACTTGTTCTGAAATGCCAGCGAATCAGTCAAGAAAAGTTAAAAAAGATTTTTTTAAAAGGTGGGGGTGGGCATTTAAAGAAGAAAATTATTATGCTTTCTTATGGGACAATTGGAATTGGAAAGAATTGAACAGAGGAAACTCGATTCACTTATTGGCCAATCAGCATTATGATGGGGGTGCCCCACGGACAGAAAAAAAGCAGCCCACGTTCCTAAGACGCTATCTTTTCCAAACAAGCAACAGTGACATTTACATTCTTCTCTAAACATAATTTCAAGTCAAGGCCTCGATAGCATTAATTATGTTTCCATAGTTACATTTCACCTCTCTGAGTCTCATAAAACTTACAAGAAACTCCTTTGACACAGACCCTGGGATTTTTAAAAAATATTTCCATCTCTTTTATCGCTGTTTATTACAAATTTCAGGCATCTTTAAAAGTGAGACAGCATTTTCTGAACACTGATATTTCAAAGAGAAAGAGAAGACGTGGAACAGGTTATCCTGTCTTTCATCTTTATTCTGTTTGCTTTGTCTCTTTGGGCGGCTGGCATTTTATACAGAACCATGAGGGGAACGCTGCGTCTGCTGATGGAACTGGAGATGGGACAGGAACACCTCAGCCCAGAGGACAGGGACGTTGGCCACCCAGGGGCCTTTGTCCTATTCCCAGGCCCTCCGTCATCTCCTCAAAATCGGGCGGTTCTCCTATCTCCCTGACAGTGGCCACAGTAAGTATAGCTGGTCAATTAAACATGAAACAGGACACGGTCTTGGCAGAACCAGACTGGGAATCTTACCCGCTCTCGGGAGAGTGTTGTTGAAGATCAGAATGCAGACAGCTGGGATTGGTGAAAGGAGAATAGAACTTAAATGATTTATTGAGGGCACTTCCCAAGGACATGGGTGACAGTAGCCTTTTCTTCATGAACTCTGAAAGTCTCTCTTTACTCACTCCCTCAAAATGGCAGTTAAATTCGAGAGAGGGAGTTGCATTCAAATGTTCTCTCTGGAAGGTAGACTGGGTCAGTCCTCTAAGGAGCAGGCAGACCATGGAGCTCTGGGAATGCATGAGTCTCGGGGTGAAGAAGGGTCATAGGAGAGGACCCTGTGGGTGTGGGGGCAGGAGGGGGCTCAGTCCTGGGTCAGGAGCTGATCTCAGGAAGGGCTTCTTACTTGGGACTGTTGATTAATATATAGATTAAAAAAGAACCTGGCATTTGAGGATCCAAATGGATCTGGAATATTGGTCCCAGGGACTGTTTGTTTGATGATTCGACTCTTGATCAGGATGAAAATGAGGCTGATGCAGAGAAGTAGCCAGGAGGTGAACCTAGAGATATCTCAGGGGTCACATAGGCCGAGTTGGAGGTGATGTCTTGGCAGATGTCCAAAGGAGCAGCTGTCGTGGTTGAAAAGACACAATTGGAAATGGGAAGTGAGGGCAGGGGTAGGTCAAAGCAGAAGTACCAGGCGGGTGAGAGGTCCCTCCAGTTGGGTTGCTCTCCAACATGGTGCTTTAAATCGTAATGGAGCTCAGGCTTCCCAGGACAAGCCACCCAGGTTGGCGCCACCCCTCAAACCCCCATGACACTCTAGAGCCTCAGGCAGGGACCTTTCTTTGGGGCCCTAAGAAGAAGTGTTGGAAGAGGCACTTCCTTTCCAAAAGCATGATCCCACACACCTGGCACACCTGCAGAGATGCCCCAGGACTAGCCCAGATCTGGGCAAAGACTGGCAGCAGCATCTGCCCTGCACCAGGCCACCATTTATGTGAAGTCGGGCATTCTGTGTGCTGCACACAGGGACCCGCTGAAAGGAGTGGGTGGGACCAAACCCCTCAGAGAAACCACACAGAGCCTCAGGTAGGGCCTCTGGCTGCTGTTGGAGCTATGGCTGGGTGACCCCAAGTGCGGCCTTTCAGTATAGCCTTTCCTGAAGCTCCCCAGATACACGTGGGGACCAGAGCCCCCAAACTCCTTGGGATTGTGTGACCTCTCAGGCTTCCCGAGCCGCTCTCCACTGCCACACTTCAGTACAGATGTGCTGGGCCTCGCTCCCTTTCTCCTGTGAGCACACTGCCTCCATCCGCCTTCCTCTCCGGCTGGCAGGGGAGACAGGCAGACGGGGGCTCTCTGAGAGACTGCGCTGTGCTCATTGGCCTTGACACCCCTGGTAGGAGGGCGTGTCTTGTACCCTCCTTCCAGCGGTGAAGATAGTGACTCTAAGTCCTGTCAGTGCCCAGTTCTTGGTGGGCCTGCTGCCTACATGGTGCAGCCAGGAGGTCAGAGCAAGTAGAAACCCCAAACCAGAAATCCAAAATGCTCCGAAATCCAAAACTTTTCAAGGAATTGACATGACAGATGGACAATTCTACACGTGACCTCCTATGATGAGTCACAGTCAAAATGTAGGTACATTAAAAATATCATATAAAATTACCTTTGGGCTGTGGGTACAAGGCCCATCTGAACTATAAGTGAATTTCATGTCCAGACTTGGGCCCCATCCCCAGAGGGTCTTACTATGTATGCTCAAATATTCCAGAATCCAAAAACCCAAAACACTTCCAGCCCCAGGCATCTTCTTTTTTAAAATTTATTGGTGCATTACAATTATAGACAATATTGGATTCATTGTGACATAGTCATACACGCACATAACATGACTTGATCAATTTCACTCCCCAGCATGTCCACCTTCCCTCTCCTCCTTCCTCCCCCTGACTCCTCCCTCTGCTCTACCCAGGCATTTTCAGTGAGGGATAATCAGCTCATATGTGCATTTTACTTGATAATGTTTTAATGAAAAATCTTTCATAAAAATATATTCTTTGTTTCTGTACAGATTTCTTATGGAGAATATCATTTAAAAAGTAATACACCTCTGAAAAATAGGCTACCTTTTATATAAAAAAAGAAAAACTATGATTCTATTTGGTATTTGCCTGTGTATTAAAAAAAATGAATCCCAGAAGATTTCATCAAATACCACAGGGGCTCAGAGGGTACGGGAGACAGGGATAGGAGGGATTGTGTTCACAGCGTACGTTCCGGACTCTGGAATTTGAACCATGCAAATGTACTCTCTATTTTTAAAAACACACAAATCTTAAAAATAGAAAAGCACTCACAGATGTTTGTGAAGTCTTTTCTCTCCATAGGAGAGCAGACCTACTCTGGCTGCTCCCACTTACCAACAAACACACACAGAGAGGTGCCTGGAGACCTCCCCAGTGGCTTTTCCAAGGTGATTCTCTCCCTTTGCAAAAGACGGGGAGACAAGATCCAGACCACTGCAGCCTGAATAGGGGGGATGTCCCAGAAGTAGAGATAATTGATCTTTTTTAAAAAATGAATTTGGGCTTATTCCCATCATGTGGGCCAGATGATAGTATGTCCTTTAAATAGCAGCAGCATTAATTAAACACGCCCTGGACTCCCAGATGATGAGCTTGGGGTTCTGAATGTTTGTCCAGGGCGGGTTTGGAAGCTTGGCTGATTCTGATCCACATTTCAACAGCACAGCTACCTGGCAAGTTACAGAGCTATTGGGTCCTGCTGGCTCAGGAGAGACCTTTGTCCTCCTGCCCTTCTCCAAGGGGAGTAGGGGGACCTGGGACACCTGACCCTGGCACACAGTGGCCACTGGGACCCACTCAGACGCGGAGGCTGCATCAGTGGGCCCTGTGCCTGCACTGGCCTCACGGCTCCTACCTCCTGCCTTGGGTTGCCCTCCTGAGCTGGGCAGCTTCCTTCTGTCCCTCAACTCCTGGTGGAAGGAGCTCTGGCCAAGGCTGCTGGCCCTGTGAGATCATGGAGAGGGTGTGCCTGCCCCACCGGAAGCCCTTCCTTCCTTCCCACCTTCCCTTCCCCAGCCTCCTCCATCCCCAGTCCTTCTTAGAGACCCAGCCTAGGATTTCTTCCCTCAGACTCTTATTGGCAACCAAGGACCAGATCCCTCTTGAGCTGCAGCACCAGCCCATGGCAGTATCATGGTAAATCACCAAGATGCCCAAAGATTGATTCTGGGAGACCCCATGAACAGAGCTGTCATAGAGGGAGGTCAGGCAGGAGTGGCTTAGCGGGCAGTGAGACAGAGCCTAGTGCCCTATACATGACTCCTGGCTCCCAAGTGGACCTCAGAGGGTGGTAATCAATCAGTACGGGACAGAGGCTCTTCTTGCGCTTTCCACCTGCCTCAGCCCAGGAGGCTGACCTGTCCTCTCCATCAATGCAGTGCCCTCCTCCTCTGACCTCCTGTTGAGTCTGAGCAATGGGGAGCCCTGCAGGGAGACTGAGGGCAGGTGGGGAAGGGAGCCAGGTTGCCTAGCGCTGGCTTAGTTCCTCTGCTCTCCTGGAAGTCCCTTCCTGCTTCCTGTCCCCAGGCTCCTTCAGGTCTAGAGGTCACGATGACTCCCAACTGCTGCTAGGAAACCACATTAGCACGGTGGTGTCCCCACACCCAGCCCAGCCTTGGGGAGGGTCCCGTGTTAAACTTCCCTTTTGCTGACCATCCTGGTTGGAGAATGCCACCTGCCTGGCATTGGGATCCTGCTGGTCTGCACCAGAGACCTGCCCTCTCTGTGGATGTGACCTTGCATGCCACTCACTGCTCTGGGCCTCCAGTCCTGGAGCTGTAACATGAAAGGGCAAAATGAGATGCTTTCATTCGACGAATTCTTACGGCAAGCCCTCCACATTCCAGGGGTGACCTGGAATCTGAGAAGCCACAGCAAACGTGACAGCCAGGACTCCACCACACAATCAGATGGCCCAGCGCATGCCTGGCTTAGGACTCGGGAATTATAGAATCTTGGATTCCATGGCAGTCCCAAATTCATGAGGCAAAGAGAAATCTAGGGAAGAAGCCTCCATGAGGGTTGGGACTGGATGGGGACAGGTGGCCGTGGGAAACTCTCACCCCAGGGACGAGGGACAAGACTGTCAGGGTAGGAAGTTCAACCTCTTGGGAAGAATGACTCAGGACCCGTCTTCTGTGTGTGTGTTGGTGTTGTTGATGCCAATTGTGGTCATCACAACAGTGACATGGAAGGCAGAGCCAGGAGAGGGGAATGTGTCACAAAACACAAAGGGGGAACCGTGAACTGTCCCTGGACGTGTTAAGCTGCAGTGATCGCTCCAGTCACTTACAGGCAGTCACCATGCGCCTCCGGTTCCCGGGCAGCAGACAGGCCTGCCGTCAAATCTGTGCAGGGCGATCTTCTTGTGTGATGTGGAAGTCAATGTCCTGTGGTGAGAGGGCTCGCTCTTGCCTCTGGTGGCCTGGCTGGGGAGCCTCCCAGAGGTGCAGCGGGCGGGCGGAGCTGAGTGGAAGGCGGCAGCTGGCAGCAGAACAAGGAGTCTGGACGGCTTGCAGGAATTTTCAAATTGGATCCGAGTTCTCAGGCTTCCAGTCTCAACAGTCTTAATCTTTCACACTTAGCCTGGTTTCTCCTCCCTGCTTCCTGCCAATCTCTGGTCTTTCTCCATCTGTGTTGGGACTTTCTTCCACACAGCACAAGATGTCCCCGCAGAGACAGGCTGTGTTTTCACGAAGGCAACAACGCTTACATTCACTCAGCACTTGGGTTTCCAAAGCCCTTTTCCATACTCCTCCTTCAGTCCTAGCCATGATGTGGACCAAGAAGGGGTCTCCACTTCTGAATTAGCAAGGAAGGAAGGTTTGGCAATTTCCCCCCGTTCCTGGGGCCAGTAAGAAACAGAGATGGGCTTCTCGGCCCTTGGAAGTCCTCCCGAGCTGTTCCATCATCATGTCAGGGAAACCCTCCTGTCATCTTCGAGGCCCTCCCTGGGGCATTGGAGGCTGGTGGCCCTCTCCAGCCACCGTACACGCTGCATCTCTCCTCCCAGAGCCTCTCCTCCAACACTCTGGGCCCAAGACCGCCGCGTGGGTTTTCTGCAAGCACATGACCCAGCCCTCTTCACACTGAGATGCGCCTGCCTTGATTTCTCTGGAGAGACCACCTTTTCTTTTGAACTGGAAGCAAAAATGATCAGGAAGAAACCTACAGCCATGAAACCAACCTGGGCCTGGCTCAGGAAGAGCGTTCTAGATGCATGTTTCTTTGTTTCCCCTTTTGAGAAGCAATCAGAGCTGCTCTTGGGCTCTGCTAGGAAGGTGGCACCGCTTGGACCACCTGGGCTCTGGGCTCCATTTGTTCACGCTCTTCAACTGGCTTTAGGATATGGCTACAGGGACTTTCCATTCTCAGTGTCCACTCAGCTGTCCCTACCCCACCCCCACAAGGCCCTAGTCACCCTGAACTTCTCATTCTCCATCCAGGAGGCCCCGGGAACCTGCCTGGGTGTCTGTAGAGCCTCTTCCCATCCCCCTGCTTCAGGCTGCTGCGTGGTCTGTCTCAGTGTGGGGACGTGTGCCTCTGCTGGAACGTGCACTTTAGGGATGTGACATACGTAACGTACCTCAGAAGATTTTTGGTTCCCGGGGAGGGTGTCGTCCCTTGTGCACTCGGGCAGACCAGGGGAAAGACTGGGTCAAGGGAAGTCCTGGCTGCACCCCTTTACCTTTTCACCCCCCTTCCCAGTGGTGACGACGGCCAGAGCTTTCACAGCAGAGGTTTCTTGCTGTGATGGATAAAGTTGCTTGATTTCCACTGGGTTCCTTATGGATGGCAAGAGAGCTTGACTTCCATGTAAGGAAGTATATCGAGTGTCCTTTTAAAACAAGGTTTCTAAATCACAAGAAGTCACCAACTTAATTACAGGTGTTGATTAAGGAGTAGTTGGCACACAAAAATGGTAGAAAACACAAAGTCGGCCCAGGTAGGACCATGGTGGGAAAGATATGGGACACGGTGGGAACCCCTGCTGTCCCCACCTAGGGCAGCCTGAGGCCAGGTGCTTCCCTTGCCTGGTGGGAGGAGGCTTGCACCACAGCTACCTCACAGAATCAAGTGAATGCCATGAGTGTAAAGGGCTTAGCCCAGGTTTGGCATGGGGAAGTCTCAACAGGTGACAGGGGCCGTTCACCAGCCTAGTTCAAATAACACCTCCTCCCTGAAGCCTTCCCGAGCAACTCAGCCTAAGGTCTCTGTCCCTCTGTCTCAGGGTTCTGTCCTGTACAGCACTTTGGGTGTCAGACTTTGACCTGACCGCAGTCCACAGTAGCTGGTACCTGTTAAAGATGAGTAAGTCTTCAGCTGTGAATGGACCCCCCGCCCCGGCCCTGCCTTTTTTATTTTTCATGAGTTTCATTGATAAAGACTTTTTCCTACTTTTATGGGAAGATCTAAAAGGGCCTCTCAGATCTCAGTGTGTGGTTAGCGCACCCAGGACAACTTCAGAGATCCCAGTGGGAATGCTTGTTCACATCACTGGAGTCACTACTGTGCTGAGGCCACAAACATGAGGTCCCATCCTGTCCTTATTTATTTTTCCTGGATCAAGAAAGAAAACCCCAGAGATGGGAGAGGCAGGGATTATAGTCAGGGCCAAAGGGACCAGAGGCCAGGAACAGAGCAGCAGTACGTGGTGGACTCTGAGGGACATGACCAGCAGGGGACGTGAGACCAGGGACACAGCATGTTGGACACGCTGAGTGGACCCTAATGTGAACGTGCTGCCCCCACTTGGTGCCTGAAGACCTGGTCACGGACTGTGGGCGGGAATAAGGCCACTTGCAATTCGCCTGGAGAGGTGTATGGAGGACTCTTTTTGCTGATAGTTTATTTCCTTTACTTTCAGAAGCTGCGGCAGAGCCTCTTTGGAAACACCATCCACATCTTCAGCTATGACTGGAACAAGGCCTATTTCAAGTTCCACAGTCCTTTCTCTGGCCTTGCGTTTGCTTTGGAAGTGGCAAAGGTAACAGCCAGATGGCGGTCTTGTTAGATCCCTAGTCTCTCTCCTTCCCTCTGTGTGCGCATGAACCATTATGACCGTAGTGGAGACGCGTGCACAATTTGAAATGTAACCTCAAATGATAAAAGACTTCAACGTCACCACACACTGCCTGGTTATGATAGACTCCTCACCTCCTTGTTCTCCTGTCTCTTCTTTCCAAGTTCTAAGCATCCCTGAAGATTCAAAAGCAGAGGGAAATCTAGAAACTTCCCTCTGGCTTGTTTGAAGTCTCAACAATTCCTGTGTGGTCACAGGCACACCCACATTCCCAGGCCAGCTAGTTGCTTGCCTGCTCCGAGTCTGCAAGTCTGACTAGAAGCAGGGGCAGAGTGATGGGAGGATGGAGGGGAACAGGTTCCCAGGAACCCAACTGAGGGCTCCACAAAGAAGCTAGTCATTGTAGATTCTAGCCGGCCACGGTACCCTGCTACAGCCAAGGGCAGGGATGCATAGGGACAGAGCAGCGTCCCTTCATGAAGCCCTGGGGTACCAGGAGGGGGTGGGATGCAGAGCAGGGTGGAGAACCAGGTCCACTCCAAGGGCTCTTTGTCACGTCCACTCTGTGGTTCTGCTGCGGTGGTAGAGCCCAGCACACAACTTCGCCCTCACTGCTCACCCTCCCCATCCCAGGGAGGCCCCCGGAGCATTCAGATGGCTGTACAAGGGTCCATCATCAAACATCTCTTGTTTACCAGGAAGGACAGAGACTGTCACCTTCGCAGGTAAGAGCACTGTGAGCAGTGCGGAACAGTGACCAGCTTCATGGAGACCTTAATATGCTAAATAAGCATACTGGACAGGGCGGGTGGCCTCAGGAAGGACTTGTGCTCCTAAAGCAGAAGGCAGACGTGATCAGCTCCCCCAGAGGGGCTGGCCTGCAGCACTGGGGTGGGGGGGCCTCCTGCCATCCCTTCAATGTCCAGCGGCAGGAATGAGGTTGACAGGTTTCATGCTCCACTGCGGACCACCCTGTCAGGCAAAATTATGCCCCAGGTCTCAGGTGAGCTCACCTGTCCATACTTGATGGGAAGCCGTAACCCAACAATTCTAGGGGGAACCACGGAGGTGGTTCAAACCAGTGAATGAAGGCTCCATCCTCCTACTTCACCAGTCTAACAAGGGACCGTGTTTGGTGGTTCCCTATTTGCTAAAATCAACTCAAAACTTGTTCAAACTGGCTTTATTCTTAGAGGTTAACAACTGCCCCCCATCATGTGCAGAGCCCTGTGCTGTGTATCACAGGAAATGAAAATCAGTAAAAGGCAAATATCTGCCCTCGGGCTAGATAGGTCATCCCCACCAGGAATGAAATGTATAATGTATTCTAAGGTCATGGATTGCCAGGTCCTGCGGAAGCACAGGGCACAGTGGGGATTTTTATGCCAGTGATTTATTCCGGGTGTGCCCTACAGAGAGCCCTGTGAGACAGCAGGAGAAACAGGCAAGAGAGGAGCAGCTGAGGAAGAGCGTGGGTCCCAGGGAGGCCAGCCGACACTGGGGGAGCTTGGGCACAAATGCAGCCTGCCCCACCTTCAGATAAGGGAGGGGGTGCCTCCTGCCCAGCCATCCCTGGCTCCCGGCCAGCCCCAGGAATGGGCACTCCTCCCAGTTGTCTGTGGACCAAGCGGCTCCAATCCTTTGGAGGAGGGTGAAAAGTGGAACTCACTAGAGTAGGACCCAAAGTGTCTGGGGAATGCACCCAGTGCCAAATGGGGGGACCCAGGGAGCCAAGATGGGGCATGTGGGCACATGAGCACACACATGAACACATGCACATATGCACAGACATGCACACAGCACACACATGTGCACATGTGTACACACACATGAACACATGCACACATGCACACTGTATGCACGTGTACACATGTGTACACATGCATGAACACAGGCACACACATGCAGACATGCACACAGCACACACATGCACATGCACACAGGCACACACATGTGCACGCATGCATACATGCACACATGTGCATGTGCACACATGAAGACACACATAGCATGCACACACATGCAATCACATGCATACATGCACACATATACACATGCATGTGCACACACATGCAGACATGTACACCCATGTGCACAGCACAGACGTTCGCAGACACATGGATACTCACACACATACACATATGCACACATGCACATAGACATGCACACACACACAGCACCACACGCGTGCACCCAGGCATGCACACATGCACACATACACACACACAGTTGCTACATGATGTAAAGCACTTAGCACAGCACCAAGTCTGTGGCAAACTGAACAACTGTGAAGGGTCACTTTCCAGGGAGCTGCTGCCCCCTGCGCAAGCCTCTCTCTGCCCTCCCCCTTACCTCATAGCACTTTGTCCTCTTCTCATTCCGCTCTGTGCTAGAGTTTTGGGCCCTCAGACTCCTTGTCACAAATCTGTGCCTTGCCACAGAGCTAGAAGGATTGTGTAAATCATCATCAAGCTTACTGTAGCCATGGCTGTCTGTCCCTCTATAAAGGCCACACTTGTCAATGTCACACAGGTAGAAAGTAAGCAGAGTGACATCACACAGAAGATTGGCTCCCATTTCCTGGGAAGGTGTGTCCTCAAGGGCACTCAGCTCAGTGGAACAGTGAGAAGCAGGGATTCAGGACCCCAACAGCCTGAATTCAAGTCACTGCTCCCCCACTTTAAAAATGAGGGAACAGTGGCAAGTTACTTAACCTCTCTGTGCCTTTTTGTGGGAGCAGCAGTGGTATGTGCCCTAGAGGCTTAGGCAACCAGACAAGGTGACATAAGGGAAGTGCGTAGTGCAGGAATACAGCGAGTGCAGGACCATCTGGGGGAGACCTCCTGTGCCACTAGGACGGGACAGATGAAAGTGGAGAGCAGGTCCAGGCTGGCCAGTCCTGGAAGAGGCTTTGCAAAAGAGGGGTTATGGGGGTTGCACTTGAAAAAGGCCCATCAGTGGGCTGAAGTGTTCAGGCTGACCCCTGCTGTCGCTCAGGACAGAGGACAGCAGCGGCCCTACTGGGTGAGACGCAGGAGGTGAACTGGCTAAGATCACAGACCCTGCTGTGAGGACTCCAGTTGCAGCCACAGCTCAGGAGCTGGCTGGTGAAGGAACCCAGGCCATGCCGCTGTGTTCAGAGGGGGCATGACCCTGGGGGCACCACACACAGCAAGGCGCTGTTCCCTGTGCCTGTTCCCTCCCCCTCCTGCAGTTTACAACACCTGAGCAGGCAGCAGCAGGAGCAAGCCCTGGCCACGGTGCTGACTGACATCCTGTGGGTCTCAGGAGCCGCTCAGAAGGCCGTTGTCTGCGTGGTTACCGAGGACACCTATGTTGACTGGACTCCTGACTACTCCAGGGACAACTTCACTGAGAGGGTAAGTGCAGTCCCGCCATGCGCAGGGCGTCCATGGAGACCAAATGGAGCCCTTCGATGCCCCTGGACATGCCTGCTGTGGCAAGAGGCACCCCAAAGGGGAGAGTGCCCAGAGCTATAATGACCCAAGCGGCCAAAGTGGAAGGTCCCAAAGAGAATTTCCTTCCAGATAATTCAAAATCACCATCCCTGAATGTCCATATCCATCATCCTAAAGATAGCTGACTCCTTCCTATGGGGGAAAATCTCTTTATTGTCTTACTGCTCAAAAATCACGTGGGCTTAAAACTGAGCACTCTGAGGACCACCCATCCCCGGGTGTGTCTCGTGGCCTCGTGTAAGAACATGTCCGTGTGGCAATGTGATCTCGCTACGAAACAAAGATCTGCCTCGAGGAAATGACACAGAATTGGCGTCCCTTGGAGGCACCTTCCTCTTCCTCATTGTTATCTCCTGTTCCTGATTTGTAGCTCCAGCTGTTTGAATTTTCAGAGAAGGAAGCGGCTGAGAAATTCATCGGGGATCACTTGGAGAGTGTAAGTGTCAGAGGGCTGCGGTGGTGCCTTTGCCTTGGACCACCCTACAGAGATCCTCTTTCTCTTCTGAGGCGCGTTGCTAATGATGCTCGTTAAGAAAACCAGGTCATTCCGAGGGCTGGGAAAGGGCGGGATGAGTGGAAGAAGCCTGTTTCTCCCTCCCCACAACCTAGAAAGAGGCTAGATCAGACGGAGCCCCCGCTCACTACGGCCTCTTTCCTTGGCTAATCAACCCAGAGCACAGTACTGTAGAGGGCACGGGCCAGGATGTCTTTTGTTCAGACAGTCTTTCCTTATCCGATGGGTAAAAACAGAAATGGTAGAAAACTAGGGAAGGCCCTTGTCTACGCTGCCTCCACAAGGACTTCGGATTTTGGGTAAATGACTGGCCTTAAGGTGGCCCCTCACCTCTTCCCACAGCCCCAACCCCGGGGAGGGTGGGAGCACAGACCAGGAGGCAGCAGGAGGAGAGGGAAGGGGCCTCTCAAAGACTCTACAGAGAAAGAAACGAAAGCCGATAAGAATCAGAGACCTACCGTGTGCGGGAAGCAGGGAGTCAGCAGGACAGCAATGGAGCCCGAGGCCTGTCGGGTGAGCGGAGAGGGGACTGTGGTCTCCGTTCCCTGGAAGGCTGAGGAGGCCAACACTGGGAGCTATGGCCACGTGTGGTTTATAGCTCTAGTCTGGATGACCAGCTGCCCCCCTTCTCATGGGCCTGCTGTTGACTTATGTGACTGGCAGGATGGTCCCAAGAAAGTTGTCTACTTCCTGCCCCCAGAGCCTGTGAATATGCACATTACATCACAGAGGAGAGTGACCGCGGCTGGTCGGATGGCCTTAAGATAGAGGGGTCATTCTGGGTGACCCAAGTGGGCCCAGGCAGCCACAGGGTCCTCACATGGGAGAGGAAGTCCGCGAGGTGCTGAGAAGAGCATCGCCCACACTGAACGTGCAATGACCTTGTACTCCAATGACCTTGATGTTTGTAGGATTTAAACTTTGCAAGTGGGACCCCAGCCAAGGCATGTGCACGGTTGTCCAGGAGGACAGGCCAGGGCTAGGACAGGACAAGGGAGTCTCCAGAGGGAGGGCTCTCCTGAGACACCGTGATTTCAGTGCACTAAGACCCGTTTCAGTGACCTCCACAGCTATGACACAATATGTTTTAAACATTTTGTTTTGTTTAATTTCACATTTTGTTTTATTTGGTACAGGGCATTGAGCATGCACACTATCACCAAACTCCATCCCGAGCCCCAATTTAAGCTGTTCCATCTATGGTAATTTGCTACAGCAGCAAAATGCAACAAGTAAAACCTTATGATCGACTTTGACTCCTTGACATGAAATGTTGAGCCAGGAGCCAGCTTAGGGACACTGGGTTGAGGACAGGAGACGGAGATAGAGTTATATAAACACAAAGGATCCACGTAAGAAGGGAACTTTTCAGCAAACATCAGTAAGGACATTCCTTTGTGTTGCTAGCCTCCTCCACTGACCCCTGGGAGACTTTCAGCAGGACCCACATCTGCCAGGAGTCCTAAGTGTGGCCTGGGTGGCATCCGAGGAGCACAGCTGGAGCTCTGTAGACTGGCCCAGGGCCCTTAGCAGAGGGGACTTTGCCCTGCAGGTGGGCATGGCAGGACAGCCACCTGTGTGGAGCCCACCTAGGCTATGGTCACCTCAGTCATCTGGGGAAGGGCTGGTAATATTTTCTGGGTGAGGGGAGCTTGGAGGCAGGCATATTGCCTTCTCATTGTTACCAGCACCACTCACCCAACCAAACCCATCACTACCAAAATGCATCCATCCTCTGTCCCAGTGCACGGGCCTGGATCTCCAGCTGGAGGCCTGTGGCCTACTGTCACCAGTTGGACTTTGTCCCCTCCGAAATACATTGAAGTTCCAACCTGCAGTATCTGGGAATGTGATCTTACTGGAAAATAGGGTCTTTGCAGATGTAGTCGGGTTCAGATGAGCTTGTTCTGGGTTAGAGTTAGGGTAAATAGTACTCCAATGACCTTGATGTTGTTTGTAGGATTTAAACTTTGGATACAGATAGATACACAGAAGACACCACAAGGTAACCATGCCAGCGCTTCCTAGGAAATGATCACACTTATTCCACACACTTTGGGACGGCCCAGGGCTGTGCTGCCGACTTTGGAATCAGCAAATGTCAAAAACAATCAGGAAATCCCACAGAAGAACTTGGGTTTTTGGCTTTTCCTGGAAAACCTTGCCACACTGATCCTATAGGGTTCTCAGTTGGTGGAGAGGCGGAGGCAGCCCGCCCTGAGAGATGAACTGCGACAGGCGAGCGCTGCTTACTTCCAGGCTCCAGAAACCTCCTGAATGTCCCCTAGATGGTAAAAGGAACTGTACAGACGCGATTAGGGACCTTGAGATGGGGAGACTCTCTGGGTCCCAGATGGGCCTGACTCATTGTCGGCTTCCTCGCAAAGAAGGAGGGAGACAGCTTCAGAAGGCAAACGAGGCCAAGAACCCACTCTCCCCTATAGCATCCCAGGGAACACAGGCTTGCTGTCACTACGACCGTAGCCACTGAGACCCATGCTGGACCCAGGGCATAATTCATGTGGCTTTAAGTCACCGTGGCAGAGGTGGCAGCAGAAAGCTAATACACGGGTCTTTCCAGCTTGCCTCAGGCCCCACCCTGCCCCCCACCCTGCCCACTTCTCCCACACTCTCGTGGTACGGTCATAGGAATTCCTGTCTGACTCTGGTAGCGCTGGAATTTGTTCTCCTGCCTGAGGGTCCTGGTCCCTGCCAGGTCACAGATAGCAAGGTGAGCAAATTAATCCACAGAGGGGAAGCACGTGTGTCTCATCAGGTCCCTTCTTGAGACAACGGCTTTACTGGGGGGCGCCTGGACCCTGGGCACCTGGAAAGCCAGCCAACAAGCAGCCATGCTGCAGGCAGAAGATGGACACTGGCCAGCTCAGGAGAGGCCCTGGATGTTGGGTAGGCAGAGGGATGTGATCCCAGAGATCACAAATGATCTTCAAGGAGTTCTGAGCCGAACAGTAATGCAGCCCAGAAAAGAGAGAAGTGCCTTAAAGAGGGGCAAATACTGACCTCTCTATGGAGCTAGAATGACCCAAGACGAAGAGAGGCACGTGCACTCATTAGTTCACTTGATCTTTGCAACAAACCGAAGGAAAGGTTTTTGGCTTTTTTTTTTTCCTCTTATGATTGCAGACAAAACTGAAAAAGACTGGAGCTCAGAGAAGTCAATACTTAGGAGTAGGTAGTAGGAGAGAGGCCTGTGTTACTCTGTTTCTGTAAAGAGGGACACGGCCAGAGAGGGCAGGGAGACAGGCCAACCTGGACAGCACTCAGGGCCTGGGCAGGATTGGAAGAGCATCACCTTGGAAAGGTGGGAAAGAGAGCATTTGGGGCTGGGAGGCTGGTGGTATCATGGTTGCTGCAGGAAGGAGGCTGAGGAGGGAGGCTGCCCCTGAGAGTGGAGTCCCAGAGCGGGAGGCCAAGGGCGCCCCTGTCTCAGCAACGAATGTCACGCCTACAGGGACACAAGGCTGCTGTGTTCCTGGACCAAAGTGCTTCTCTTTTGTTTCCCAAACAGTTCAAAGGGGAAGGGAGTCGCGGCGTTGTGCTGTTCCTTTACAGCCTGATCTTGTCCAGGACGTTCGAGAGGTAAATGCTGCCATGCCCCAGGTGTTGGGTGCAGAAGCGGGACCATGTCACTGTGCCCTTGGGTGGAAAGCATTCCCACGAGCACCACCATTTCCTAAGGCTCACTCTTCTGTGGACACCTCGTTCCGGAGGCTGGCTCAGCCGTGTGGTGGGGCAAGCAGAGACCGTCAGTCGAGGACACGGGTTTTATTATTTAGATCCACAGTAAATACGCCCTCGGATATCCACTCCGTCTCGGTGGCATGCAAAGCCCTGCTCGCGGCACTGTGGGCAGCACAGATAAGAAAAGACGCAGCCTGACTTCCTGCAGGCTCCCCAGGAAGGGCAGAGCTAGGCTTGGGGGGTAGCAAAGTGGGTCCTGACGGTGTGAAGACAGTGTGGGTGTGGGTTCCAGAGGGGAGGCCCCCTGCCAGGGCACCAGGGAGGTTTTCTGGGTCAGAGAGGAGAGGCCCAGGAGGGAGGCTGATAGCCCGGAAGCGGTGTTCTTGAAACTTGTCTTTCACTTTCCACTATCACATTTTTGTGGTCTGTGCTATTATTTGCTTAACAATTTTATTTAAATTAAGACCCATTTAAATATTAACCTGTTCCTAAACATTAACATTCTATCCACTAATATCTGCCTAGACTAATAAATAAAAGATAAAGCATTAAAATAAACACATCACTATTAAATGTCTTAAGTGCTCATATCTGTACCATCTAAAAACACTGCCCAGAATTATATCTGGTGCCACAGAGACACTGGCCAGCCTTGACCTCAGGTCCATTCACAGCTGGACATAACCTCCAGTTCCATGAGTAGCTTCATCCAAGGACACATGCAGCTCCCATATCAGTACTCGGTGGCTCCTTGGGTGACAGCAGGAGCCAAATTGTACCTGGACCCCTCCCAGCCCAGATCCCTCCCAGCCCCGACCTCTGCCCTTCTACAGCCAGAAATGGGCTCCCCAGCCCCTCTGGTGCTTCCACTGGGGCGGCATGTTCAGCCCTGCCTTGGGCCAGCACTCTCTGGCGTGGTCATATGTCACCACCTGGAGCCAGGAGTCCTTGTCACACAGCGCAGACAGCTTCCCTAGTGAGCCCAGCATCCACCCAGAGCCCGACACAGGGGTTCTACAGCGCGGGACATCTGTGTCTGTTCTCTTCTCCCCTGCCACTGGCCACACGCCCCGTCTGCACCCACAGCTCCCCGACTTCGCGGTCCCAGCCGAGGATTTCCCTGGAGGATGTTGGAGCGTGCAAGGCACATGGGAGGGGAAGTGACCAGGGCCTCATCACTGCCGCTCTGCCCGGGGCTGCTGTCGACCGGCCACATGCTGATGGCTTCTCCCCTCCTGCAGGCTTCAGGAAGACCTGGACTCAACCACCCCACACCTGTTACAGCCCAGCGCTGGAGGCTTCCTGTGCAGGCAGGTGCGTGAGTAGACTCTGCCCTTTTCTTGCAGAATCTGACGAAGGTTTATTCTCCAAGTGAGCTCGTTCGCTCTTTCAGCAAAGAGACATCACATCGTTATCTTCTGGAGCCCGAGAAGATGGTGCCCTGAGTCTGTGTCAGGAGCTGCCGTCCAGTTCCTGTTTCAATCCTCCCTAGTCACCTTGAAAGCTCCAGGACCCCGTGATTCTAGAAACATCAGAAGGGGTCTTAACAGGACTCACCAGGAATCCCTAACATCAGAAAGGAAAGTTTAAAATCAGTTTAAAAGAAATGTAAAGGGAGGAGGTTAGTAAGTTCAGAGGGGGCTCCAGGTAAGATGGGGCTGGGGGGGTGAAGGCAATGGACTATGGCTTTAGCTCTACCAAATGATTAAGACATGTGTATCTAGGATTATGTATTGCATGGCTTCATTTTTTCAGTAAAAAATGCTTATTTTTAATAATTTTTAAAACTAAAAAATTAAATCCTTATTTTATTGCCACCTAAAATGTATTTGTGAATCTTGCCACCTCCCCAGGCCATTCTGAACATGATTCTCACTGGAAGAGCAAGTCCCAACGTGTTCAACGGTTGTGAGAAAGGGGAGGCTCAGGAACTGCTTCATGGAGTCCTGGCCCGCAGTGACGTTGGCTACCTGCAGTGGGGTCAGGATGCCTCCCAGGATGACAGACTCTCAGAGGTGGGTGCCCCGGATTCTCAGCTTTGCAGCTAGCACGTCAATAGTGTGACAATGTTTGAAGTCTTTCTATCAAGGCAGCTCTGAGCTCTTCCTTCCTATACTGTGTTTCTGTATACTTCTGACCCTCCCCCTCCACACACACAAGGACACACACAGGACACATGGACACACACACACACACACACACATACACACATGGAACCACAGACGCACAGACACACACAGACATCCAGGTTCGGCATGGAGATCTCCAGATCTATACTGGACATAAAGACTGTAACCAGTCTACACAGTGGAAATGGAACTATAAAATCCTGTATAGGATACATAATCTTGTGTAAGATACTTTATGCATTTTAGTGTACACAGCGCACAGGTAACCTAAGCAATACATGTAAACATTTTTTAAAACAATATTTGAAGTGTACAGGTAAGAGAACAGCCCCTCTTGTCTCCAGGAGCCACAGATCCCTTCTCAGAGGTAAACACAGGGTCCTCCCTACCCTTTACTTATGCAAATGGATGCTCTATTCTACAGATCAATGAGAGCCTTCCTAGAGACACTGAGGGAAAGGGATCCCACTTAGGCAACTCCTGTCCAACCTGTTTCCAAGGCTGGGGATTCACATGCTGCTGAAAGGTGCAGCCCCTCAGGGATTGAGTGGGTCAGGATTCTGCAGCGCCAACAGGGAGGAGGCTAGCCGTCGCCCCGCCACCCATCGCCAATGCTGTGGGACGCCTCCATTACTGTGTCCATCCTAAGCCCAGGGGCCAGGCAGACTCCGGGACGCAGCCCTTCTCTGGGTGGTCCTGGGACAGCAGGGGAGCCTCAGAGCAATGCTGTCTGTCCTCGGGCCACCCTCTCCCCTGCTCAGCACCTGCCTGCCCTTCAGCTCCCCTGGTTGTCCACAGCATCTTGACGTCCATTACTTCACCTCTCTGCTCCCACTGAAGTGTCCAGTTACCTTGTCATTCATGAAATAAGCATCTGGTTCTGTACCTAATGATATCAAGAAAACAGTGTCCGACTCTGGCAGAATTGGCATGTTTTGGGTGCAAGTGTGCTTTGAAGGTTCCCTTATAGCTCCTGAGTTGGTCATCTAGGCCCACCATATAGAGGATGAGAAGTGACAGACGAACTAAGGACCTAGTCCAACCCCGCCCCGAGTCCCTTCAGACCCGCTTCTTCCCCTCCTCTTCCCCACATGCCTCCGTCCACTTGGAGCTTACTCTGCACACTAACAGGGACATTCTGTTTGGTCGCTTCACTGCGTCCAACAGGCAGCACCCAAGGCTCCTGTGACACTGCACTTTGAGTACGTCCCCGGCAGAGACTGGACTCGTCATTGGGATGAAGTCCCAAGTCACTGTTTCCAACAACTTTGGAATTCATCTTAAAATCTCACAAATACAATGAGAGGAAAGCTAAACCAGAAATAGGGATGTGTAGATCCCATTTCACACGTTTTTCTTCTCTTTCAACCCTCCGTGGCCTCCTGGTGTCTGGTACCTACCAGAGCCCAGCAATACACCAAGATTTGGTTGGAGAGAAATGGAGGCTACATGGGGCTGAGTTTCAAGGGAGGGGAACCCAAAAATGACAGCAATGATTTAGCATTTTGTTCGATATCACAAAGCTTTCAAAACACTCTTAGATAATCCTCGAGTTCTATCATGTCTTTCCAAACCCTCTGCTGTTATTTGCTTGATGTTTTTTCTTTAAATCAACTCACTTTTGGAATTTGGGTCTAACCTTTTCTGCAGCTGTATTATAAACCCCGTGCTTGGTGCACTCTCCCCCCAATATGTATTTAAATAAGTAAACAAATATTTTAGGCAGGAGGATCACAAGATTGAGACTAGTCTGGGCAAATTAGTGAGACCCTGTCTCAAAATTTAAAATGAAAAGGGATGGGGATGTGGCTTAGTGGTAGAGCACCCCTGGGTTCAGTCCCCAGTACCGTAGATAAATAAGCACATACGTAAATAAATAAATTCATTCCTGGTGCCACCAGTCATGCCACATGCCACCAACGGACACATACACCACATTTGGAACCTGGTGTAAAGGTGACAAAGCTCCCACAGTGTGTGGGAAATCATCCTGGCTTGGTCATCAGCAGACTTGACCGCAGGCCTTGCCCTGCCACTTGCAGGGATGTGCCGTGGACCAGCGCTGACCCTCTCTGAACCGGTTTCGGGTTCTGCACATACCTGCCTTGCAACCAGAGAACTGAGTGAAGAGCAAGTGCTTTCACGAACTCGGAAGTCACTGGAAAGCTTCATGTGCTCATGTAGGACTTCCTGATAGATGACGTAAGGTGTAACGTGGAAGCCGGGACCCTCAGCCTCTCCTAACTGGGAGCTCTGTCCAGAAACAGAGAGGCCATCCTGGGCCATACATGGGCGCACACCGGCCACTGTAGAGGGATAGAGGTGACAAGTGCCACAGGACACAGATGTGGACCTGGCTGCACACTGGACTCCCTAGAAGAGCTTTGGAAACTGCCAACCCCTGGGGCATCCCCAAAACTGTCCACTTCAAGAGTGCGAGACTCGTGCAGCCCCCCAGGGCCCTGCGTTACCAATAACTGCTAGATAAGGACCCTTGCATTTTTATTTTGCACTGGGACCCATGAAATTTGTAGTCATTTCTGCCCAAAGACAGTTTCTTTTGGTCTGGAGGACACTGGACACAGGAGATACTGATAAGTGCCAGGGTCAGTCGTCTGTTTCTAAGCTGGACCTCGCAACCTCAGCACTGGAACACCCTAGCACCAGGCTTCTCTGCTGGGGGGGGGGGCGCATCCTGGGCTATCAGCAATGTCCTCGCCTCTAGCACCACACCCAGGTCACCACCAGAAATGTCTCCAACATTTTCAAAAGTCCCCTGGGGATCAAAGTTGCCCTGGTTGAGAATCACTGCTCTGAGAAGGGCAGGGTGGAGGGTTCAAATCCATTTGGGCTGGGCAAACCTGACCCACAGGGCCTGACCCATGGGGTGAACCCGACCCACAGTGCAAACCCAACCCATGATGCGAAGACCTGGGAAGCCAGGGTCTTACCTGAGCTTGCTGTCAGCTTCAGAAGGCTGCCAGGTTTTTGCTCCTTTTAACATTTACCAAGCCTCGGGAACAGCCTCAGACCTTATCCTAACTGAAAATTGAACAGGTGTTTGCAAAATGAGTTGCTCTGAGAAGAGGGAGAGAGGACTCAGCCAGAGAGTCAGCAGCGCCCAGGGACCAGCCCTGGGGTTTTCTGGAACATATTTCTTTCTACACAAGTCAGCTCAGACCCATGGAGCTGATGAATCTTGCTCTAAAGAAAATCACCTGCAGTCTAAAATACCCTCTAATAATAAAGAATAAGCTTGCCAGGACCTTAAAGTCATAGCACAAGATCAAAAAAGGAGCTTTCCTGCTGGCACAAGAACAGGATGTGCCAGACCACGGGTTCCTCCAGGGAGGTCTATCCAGTCGTGTCTGTGTGCACTTGGGGTTTGGTTCCAAAAACAGGGTATTGAAGAGCAACCATAGGCTGATGGTTTGCTATCTTACAAACATGTTAAGCCCATGCATGTAAAGTTGTTTCACCTGCAGGCAATTTTTTTTTTATTCCTTACATATCAGTTCATTATTTGTGATAAAACTGATCCCTAACTCATATGTAGTATTGAAGTAGCTCCCTACACATACGCATGTATGTGTGTTCTCCACCTCGCTGACACGTGGCAGTTAAGGGAAGTCTATTCGATGGCATTTTATTCATCCTGGGGACAGCCACATGCATAGAGACCTACTGTGTTCCGGCTTCCTGGGGACCATCTGCAATGATCTCCGATTTCCTTTAATCCTCACTTCCACTCAAAACTGAAATCACTGTTGTTTCAAGTCCAAGCTTAGTCATTCGCCTTAGAGATGAGGAAGACCAAACCGCAGGATGTGCAGGAAGTTGCCCCAACTCACCAGCCAGGCACGCCGCAGAGTTAAAACCCGGTTAGCTCTATCTTCATTCAAAGCCCCAATTCTGTCCCCTCTGCCGCGGGCTGTTAGCTGGTCAATGATAAGCATATGCCTATCAGTCCCTAGAATTCCACTTTACCATCAGCCCTTTCTTTCACAGTCCCTTCTAAACACAGCTCTATATTCTACAGTCTGTAACACGTCATGTGCACATTGACTGGTGTGGGCCCAACACTGGGACAGTGGCCAATCATGGCTAGGTTTCAGAGGGCATGACCGTCATGCTCAACCAGCAGGGACTTCATCACTGGCTTCAAGGGTAATGCAGTTGTGAGTTCACCATGATCGTGAACTTCAGGGCCTTGTGCACAGGCTCTGCCTCCGTCAACTCTGGTTTGGTGGGTCACACCTGTCAGGAATGTGGAACTTCTAACCACAGGACAAGCTTGGTGGTACTCAGAGATGTGTTAACCAGAGACCCCAGTGGACCAGATGACTAACACTGCACAGCATCCCAGCGTTGGCCTGAGACCCATTGCCCAGCCAAAGTCTACCCAGGGAAGACCGCAGCTCCACGGGGGCTGCAAAACAGTCTCCCTCACATGGCAGGATTGAAGACCCTCCATTGCAACTGCCCTTCCTTTCCCCTGAGGCACGGTGACTCCACCCATCACCCATGATGTGCAACTGGGCAGGTAGGTGCTTTATGGGTATGTAGTGGCCTGTCAAGGGGAGGTGTGACAAACCTGAGTGTGATATTTATGTACTGTACTGATAACAAAAACCTAACGTAAGAAAGGTCTCTGAGTTTGAAAGGACAGCTCGTGCTCTCTGTCATCGGGGCTGTGCTGCCCGGTGGCCTGTCCTCGCCCCCACCCCGCCTCTGTCTTTCCCAACTCCATCTCTTCTGATTCTGCAATCCAACTGCAGAGACTACAAAAACACTTGTCTTTCAACCCAATGTCACAGCCCAGTGGGTGACATTTAAAAAAAAAGAGAGAGAGAAGATGGAGCTGTCATTTGTTGACATGGCAAGCCCCCCAGAGCCCACCAGACTGACAGTTCCTGCAGGATGGGGCCTGCTCCCTGCAAGATGAGGCTCTATTTTGAAGCTTCCCTGTTACTTTCCTATTGGAGGGTACAGGTTTGTTTGTGAGGTTCCAGTACCTAAGCGAGAACATAAAGCAGTTTGAGTCTAACACCATCTGGAAAGCCTTGGGAGGTTCACATTATCCTCACACCTGCCGCTGAGAAGAGAAATCAACTCTCATTTTTGGAAGGGACTGAAGCCATTTAGGTCTGGCCCGAGTTAGTCCCCAGCACCCTGGCAGCACTTGCCACGGTCCCAGGGGTGCCCTTTCCCTCTTTACATTTCCCTTTAGAGAGTCGGGTAGGGGAAATCCAACCCTGAAAGTACCAGCTGGAGCTGTGCTTGCTTCACTCTGCTCTGGGCCTCTGAGGCCGCACCCCGCAACCACTGTCCAGTTTGTCTTCACAACATACCTGCAAGCTCGATGAGGGACGAGACATGGACTCCGTGTTCCAGGTGGCAGAGATGAGAGCCGGGCCGTTAACTGTTATGCTCAGGAATCGTCACCGGGACCCAGAGCAGAAAGTGCAACGTGGCCAACACCTTTCTCCCGTTCAGATTGCCAGCCCAGGGCCTCGGGCACTTGGTCCCAAGCTCGTCACGCAGCAACACGCTCTGAGCACCATTGCTCTAGGCCACGTAAAAAAGAATTACATGGACTCAGTTGTGGCCTTCTCTGTGTGGAATCTGTCCATCCTTCTTCCTGTCCTTCCAATGCTACCTTGGTCTGAAGGATGTGCGGTATGTGAAGCTTGGTGGCTGTGTGCATGGCAGCTACGGGCTTATTGCACCAAGAGTGAACGAGTGAACCTAAGGAGAAAGGTGTCTTATTTATAGCACCTCTGTATCCCAATTTAATTTCCTGCTCACCATGGCAACATGCACAAATTCAGACTTGGTGGAATCTCACCAATAAAACATACTTGGATCTTGCTTTGGGAGTAGCTGGTAAACGGTGTCTATCCAGCAATACAAATGCTTCAAATGGAAAATTTCAGTCCAACTGCTCATGTGAGGGGCCATGTCTGACTGGCTTGGGGCAAGAGGTGTTTTGTTGGTTTCTGCAGGACCGGCGTAAGCCAGGTGTATCTCATGGTCATCTTCAGGCCCCCTCAGGGAGTTAGTTCCCCATGCACCATGACGGTCCCAGATGACAGTCCCCTTTCCACCACATCTCCCCAGGTAGCCATGGAGTCTTCCTGCTCAGGGGACAGCTGGTCACCATGGGGGGCCAGAGGTGGTTGGACTTGGACTACTTCATTTTCCTCCTCCTTGAACAATATCTGGGGTAACTTTGAGTTCAGGAAAGAAGCTGTGGCCTGAGGTGGCAGTGCGTGGATGTGGGCCTGGAGAGGTGCCGTTGAAGTTCGCCTCCTTATGATCAATCTATGAAATGATGTTTTGTAAGTGCATGTTCTATTTCGTCCATCCAGGCATAATGTACAGGGACTTCCATTGACTTGAAGCCAGCCAGAATGTCCACCTGAAATTCCAGTGGAATGACAGTTGGTGACAAACAGCCCTCCCTCCATCTCCCAGTTTATCCACGTTTTCCAACCTTAGCAATTCCATGTCCTTCGTATCATGTTTTGATTATACATGATCTTAATGCAGGGAGAGCAGCAAGAAACCTAAGAAAGGTAGCTTATTGTGTTCCTGACGACAAGTTTCAAGTGAGCTGCAACTTGGGCTGGACGTGTGATCCCAGTCACCAGGGACAGCTTCAGGGGCACATGCTGCTGCATTCTGACCAGCCCCAGGCCCACACCCATGCCCATGCCCACTGAATATGCGGGTATGTGAGACACTTAGTGGGCCTCAGCCAGGAGGAGGAGAGGAGCACCCACTAGGAGCACGTTCTGATTGAGGTGCTGGTTCTAAGACCACCAACTAAAGCTAAGGTCGTTTCCTTAAAGCACGGTAATAGAATCTTTCTCCGGTAGCTAAAAGCAAAATGCTTAAAGACGAAAGCCTCTCTGATTCATCCACTCACCCACAACTGAAGAGCGTGAACAGAAGAAAATGAAGGAATTTGAACAGAACTATTGAGAAATCAAAATGTCAAGTTATTAGCCTTTAATACTTGGGTTTACAGAGCATGCAATAATTTTCCAAAGCTGGATATTCTATAAAATAGAATTTGTTCCTGAACAAAGAGTAAACTCTGAGGACTGAGAAGAAAAAAAACAAAATGGCAATGTTGGTCCTCCCATTGTAGGATAGAACCAAGCTAGAGGGGGCGGGGAAGGAGGTCTCAAAACTTCTGGGCACTGTGTGGAAATCATTGTTTCTCTTTAAGTAGAAGCTAAATTGTCCTTAACATTTTAAAAAATTGTCTTTATGAATGCTGAAGGAAGTCTTTTTCAAAATAGGTGTTTCCCCAAGTCTTTAATCAAAATGTAACTATTTTTTTTATAGAAATACACTACCATATCCTGGTACCTCCAGGGGCCACTGAAATACTCCGGCCACTGCTCCTACCCCTTGGCCCTGCCGTGTGCTGGTGTGTGAGTCTAGTCACCAGCCGCGGGAATTCAGGAACTGACAGTTGCCTGGAGGAAACAGAAAACAAGCTGGTTAAACCAGTGAACATGGTGTCACGTGGGGTATGACCAGATGCTGCCCTCGAGGACACCTTCCCAGCTGGTGTAGCCGGGAGCCTGCTGCGTGTGCCGTGGTCTGCGGCCCACTGCCGTAGCTTTCCCCTGCCTGCTAAGCATCTCTCTTGTGCAGCTGAAGTGGTGAGCAGACACCCGGCCACCTGCTGAATGAAATGCTGTCCTGTCTTGGGAACAGAGCAGAGGCCCTCCTCAGTGACAGAGTCAGGGTTCTCTGACCCCACCCTGCACTCCCATCCTGGGCTGTTCTTTACCTCGCCTTAAATCCAAATGAAGACTCCTCCACCCCTCCACGAGGCCACCAAAAGCAGTTTGAGAATATAATCCATTAGAGAGAAACTGCAGCATCCCCCTTGCCCCACAGAAATGCAGAATCCTGCCTGAGGACACGAGCTGGTCCCTGAGGAGGACTCAGGCTGGGCCTCACAACACAACACACACCACCCCGCGCAGGTGTGCACACACACACACACACACACACACACATACACACACACAGAAAGAGAGCGCCTCCGAGTGATGGTGCCCTGCCTCTGCGGGGTGGTGAGGCCCACATTTCCTCTCCTGCCCCTCTCCCCCGCAGGTGGGAAGCATGCTGAAGACCCCCAGATTCCCCATCTGGCTGTGTAACATCAATGGAAACTGCAGCGTCCTTTTTTGCACAAACAGGCAGCTCTTATCAGACTGGAAAATGGAGCATGTCTTTGATCTGTACCTGTACAGTGGTCAGCGCTCGCAGAGGAAGCCCTCACATCTTACCGTAGGTGAGCACTTCAGACCTGGGTCTGCGAGCTCTGCTGGGCCCACAGAGATGCAGCGGCCATTGATTAACACCTGTGTGGTAGTCACGCTGTCTCTGCAGGAAAGTGCTCGGGCTCAGTCCTGAAAGGAAGCCTGGCACAATCCCACAGATCTAAACCCAGCCTTCAATATGGGCATTCTACACCCTGAAAAAGGAAGGGGGCACAGTAGGAAAACATAGAGAAACAAACAACTTAGGTTCGAGAAAACACAAAGGGCAAAGAGGCAACTTTCCAAACAGCCTTGTCCAGGACTTTTTATTTTTGCAGTATATAATGCCTTAGGAGAGACATTTAAAAAAGAAGAGAAGGGGAAAAGTGGGGAGAGGGAGTTCCAACTGGCCAATTCTGTGTCACAACCAGACATCAGGTGATCATCCAGCGACAAAATCAGACAAACTAGGGGTGCATTTCTGTTCAGACTAGCTCAGAAGGCACCTTGGAGGGCTTGCCCTGGGCCAGAGTCTGGCTGGCCACAGGAAAGCCCTTGGGAGATGAGGCACAGTCCCCACCATCCTCATGAGGTCCTCCTCACCACTCTGTCGTGCACTGGCCCTCGGACACAGTCCTGAAGCAGGCAGGCTGGAGTCTGTATCGGGCAGCCCTGGCTCTCTCTCTCTGGAGCCTGGCCATATCCCAGTCAGCACTGGGCACCATATCCTGGCATTACATCATCCTCCATTACTGTCACTGACTTGGAAAAGTAACCGAGTGACCATCTTATCTGTGCAGCTTCTAATTCTTTTTCTTTAATTGTGAAAAACACATATTAGCCCATTTAATTTAGGGTGACATTGACAAGATGTTCCTTAAAATATATTGCCATTTCTAATTTAACTTTCCTCTTTGAGGAAGCCACGGTGTTTTTATTAGCTCGCAGGCAGCCCACACGTTCTGTTCTGGGCCCTGTGTTGAAAGCTCCCCTCACATTAACCCATGCGATTCCCCAGAGTCCCCCCGGGGTGGGTGCGGGCCTCCTTCCACTTCCCCAGCTCTAAGGCCACAGCCCCCAGGCCCACCTCCTGCCCAGCCTCCCTCTTCTCCGCCTGTCCTGGCCTCCTCGGGTAGGGTGTGCATGGATTGGGGTAGATACTGGTGTTCCTTCCCCCAGATACACACTCCCATCACTGGGAGAGGGGCAGACGTGAAGATGGACACAGACCCGGAAGACGGTTCTCTCCCCTGGAGATGGCAATCAGAACCAAGTGGAGAGAGGCCACCATCACCTGGAATGGGACTGGTCCCTTTTTCTAAAGAGAAAACCAGGTTGTGCGATAAAGTCTAAGTCTCTGAACTGTTGGGGTGCAAAAGCCAGGGTGGGCGTGGGTGATTTCTACATTCCCGTCATGAGCCCCATTGAAATTACCACGAGTAGCCTTTGGTTTTCTCCCTGCTAAGTCCCCCCGGCAGTGCCATAGGCATTGGCATCATAGAGAAACAGCACTCGCACCAGGGTCTTCCCAGCGGACCCTCGGCTCCTTAACCTCACGCCTTCCTTTCACCCAAAGGATGCTAGGAAGCCTCTCCTGTGCCTGCTCTTTCCAAGTTCCTCTTCTGCTTTGGTTCTTCACGCGGACTACGGGAGCAGGCAGCCAGCTTCCATTTGGGGGTGACGTCATCGGCAGTACGTCATCCCCTCTCAGTCATGGCAAGAACACAAGCCTTCTCGGAGACTCCTGGCAGGGGGACTGGTCCCCTCCAAGGACACGCTCGCCTGCCCACGTGGATGAGTTCTTGTCCTCAAATGGTAAACGGGCTCTTTGGGCTGGAAGGGAGCTCCTCCTGGTGGGCTGGTCACTCTGGCCAGGTGCAGGGGCCCCAAGTGGTCAAGGAGACCCAGCCTGGAGACACCCTCTTTCCATCGCGGTATTGCTGCATTCTTTCCAGTGTTGAATTTGTTTCTTTTTCATAAGATAAATATTAATGATATCAATAAACAAAAACTAAGGCATGTCTTATTCTCTGTAAAATAAGATCCTAGATAAAAATAAAACCTCTCATGTCAGTGTTTAAAGAGGAAACCAGTTCTTTTAAGCATGGGGTCCCTCTGTTCTGTTAAGTGCCTTCCTATGTTTTAAAGAGATGGAGTCACACACATTCTTTCTAGAAGATGTCCCTGGGAACCACCTAGACCTTGCTGGTCTGCCAACTCACAGACTCAGGGCTTGGAATTTGGAAACCAAGGGTCAGTTTCCAAAGCACGACTTTTCTGCACTCGTTGTCCACATTAATTATTAAGTGCATTTTCATTTGGCTCCAGAACAATGTTTAACTTAAGGGACATGCAGAAAATGAAACTTCAAGGTGAGTAATAAATTATGTCAAAAGAGGAAGCCAATTTGGCTTGGATTGCTGATTACACTGTCTTTATCATCAGTGTTTTCATTTGGGATTTTTAACACATCAGATAAATGAGTGAGTCCCTACAGACCCTGGTCTTAATTTGGTCTTAGACGTAGCCATGTTGCTTTTGCTGAGCTGCTGGCCTGTGAGGGTTTAATGAACACTGGGTTGTTACTTACTCAATGTCCCTCTTGGTGTTGACAGCTGGAAAGCTTGGAGCAGAATTAGGAATCACATTAAGTGCATTGGTGAGAAGCACTTAACTCTAAGAGATCTCACAGGAGCCTCGGACAATGAGGACATTCCTTTCTACAAGAATGGCCTAGCTAGGAGGCCCACAGCCCTTAGCTCAATCCTGCTCATCCTCTGGGACTGAGCACCAGACACTGGGCAAAGAACAAAGTCAGGGTCTGCAGAGGACAGCAGAATGGCTGTTGGTAGGTGACCAGCAGGTCCCTGGCAGCAGCATAGACCCCACAAAAGGCATTTGTAAAGCAGTCTCACCCCTGTTACCATATTCTGTTTCTGCCCTTATTTCCCTTTGAATTTTTAATCTGTTCATAATTTATGTTAGTTTGCCATATGTTTTATGTTGTTGTAATCTCTGTTAAATTATTCCCAGAACAAGTCTATAAATAAGTAAAATAATGCAGGAAAGATTAAGTACCTATGTTTTATATGTAAAGATATAATAATTATGATATGTAAGGGTATTAATCACTTTGTATGTCAATGTAGGTGAAGATGAGTTTTCCTCTTATAAACAGGGCACCCAGCAATAGTTGCATTTTTTTTTAGGTGAAGCTGTATTATTTAGAAGAAGCTAGAAATTTCCTCAGGCTCTGAATTCACCTTTGAACTTCTAAATTTTGAGAAAAATGACTCAAATTGTCCTTTTACCTTCTCAGACTTAAAGCAGGAGAAAATTATTTGCTTGAAGATGGAGATATTAATTTTTCTGAATAGTGACCTAAACCAACTGTGTCTTTAATGGAGCTTGGAGGAGATGGCAAATATTTTTCTTCTGTAAATATTAACATTAGACTATTATGTCCCCCTGCCCCCAAATCATTACTTGTTCTTCAAGGAACAGCATGGATCATGTTTCCAGTACATGCTCACCTGTGTCACAGGCCAGGTAGGACCAGGACAGGGACAACAGACCTGAGGTTCCCTGCACCTCACCCTGCAGAAGTAACAGAGAAGCTGGTGTCACACTGTCCAGATCTGTGCAACCTTTGGCCACACTGTGACCTTGATTCAGGTAGCACACTATGGACACATACGTCAAATGTCGCAATAGCCTTCAGGCCTTGGAGACCAGACCAGCTGTTGGCTCATTCCACCAGGTGGCTTAGCATTCCCCTGCACCAGGCACTGTGGGGTTCTGGGAAATGCGGGGAGTGAGTCAGACACCCCTTCTTCTCCTCCTCGAGCTCCTGTGCTCTTCTTTGATGGCACTAACCCACTTTAGTGGGCACACACTTGGAAACCCGGTGAGCATTCCAAGGGAAGGGACTCTGGACGTGTCCTCTCAGAGTTCAGGACTGATGGCCAAGAAAGGCGTCTCCCAGGAGGATCTGGAGGCCTGGAGAGGCACCTAGGAGAGCAGACGGGGTGAAGGAACTGGAGCAGCTGCTGAGCTGGGCTATAGAGCAGGAGGAGGCTGTAGAGCAGGAGGAGGAGGCTGTAGAGCAGGAGGAGGAGGCTGGAGAGAAGGAGGAGGAGGCTGGAGAGAAGGAAGAGGAGGCTGGAGAGAAGGAGGAGGAGGCTGGAGAGAAGGAGGAGGAGGTTGGAGAGAAGGAGGAGAAGGAGGCTCTGGAGAGCAGCAGGAGGCCTCAGACCATGGCGCTGAGGTGCCTGGGAAGATTCTAGAGGCCTGAGAAGATCTGCATTTTGAAAGGTGCCTCAGTGTGGAAAACAGAATAACAAGAGCCCAGACGGATGCAGAGACCAGCTGGGCGGCCATCCCAGCAGTGGAGTCAGTGATGGCCAGAGCAGAGGGCTGGTAATTCACACAGACGGAACACCTGTCGGTGACAGCAGAGAAGGCAGGACAGGCCACAGGTGCCAGAGAGAGGGAAGCAGGGGTCTGGAAGGATGTCCAGGCTCCAGTGGGAGCCGTGGCAGGTCACACCTTTGCTGTGTTTGGGCGCAGGAAGGGAACAGCAGGCTCAGAGGGGAGGAAATGCCAAGTTCATGTCCTTCACTACACAGGGAGCTGAGAGGAGGGATCAGGAGCATCTGGAGCAGATAAACACACCCGGGAGTCACAGAGAGTGGGTCACAGGATGGCCTGGGGTGGGGGTCACATACAGAGAAGACCAGGCAGGCAGAGAGCCAACCCGACGCTGACCCGAGGATCCCAGTGTCCCTCAAGTCCACGAGCCCCGCGGGGAGGCCGGAGAGATAGCCAGGAGGCAGGAGGAAGCCCGAGGTGAACTAGACTGAACCATGGCAAGCATTCCCCTGCCCATGCTGGGGGAGGAGGCAGGCCCGGGAGACAGGAGAAAAGCTCTTCCCACCCCAAGCCCCCGGCCAGAGCTGGGGGCCAGGCACAAGGCCTGGACCAACACTGGGGAACCCAGCCAGGTGGCAGAGAGCTGCAAGGAGCCCAGACACCACGAGGAGAAGGTAAGGCTGGGTTTCCCTGGTTATGACAGCATCGTGCTGGACTAAGGTGATAACCCTAACCTGCGAGAGAGGGATCTGCCTCACCCCAGGGGACTTCCCAACACCCGGAGAAGCCAGTCCTGCAGTGGGAGGGCCTCCTGAGGAGCCCAGAGCGACAGACCAGCAAGGCGTAGCCAGGGCCCAGCTGAGGGCACAAGTGACACAACAGGAAACGCAGCAGAAAAGCCCGGCCTCAAGGGAGGCCACCTAGTGGACAAAGGCAGGTAACACCACTGCCCTCAGGCTGATGCTGGAGCAAAAGGCCACCCCACCTCAGGAGAAAATGGCAGTGACAGTGGAGCACATTTTGGCATAAAAACAAAAGGTATTAGTGGCCATCAGGAGCTATCTAAATAAAAGGTGACTTTGGGAAATAACTGTGTTTAAAAGCCATCAGAGAGGATCACATTTGAATGAATTCGAACAGTTATTTTCAGAGAAAGGGTTTAAACTTTTTTTTTTTAAAGAGAGAGTGAGAGAGGAGAGAGAGAGAGAGAGAGAGAGAGAGAGAGAGAGAGAGAGAGAGAGAGAGAATTTTTAATATTTATTTATTTATTTTTAGTTCTCGGTGGACACAACATCTCTGTTGGTATGTGGTGCTGAGGATCGAACCCGGGCCGCACGCATGCCAGGCGAGCCGCTACCGCTTGAGCCACATCCCCAGCCCAAGGGTTTAAACTTAACCGTGTTGAATGTGTTCATATCCCGTCTCTTGCCCGAGAAGGACGTGGGATGGCTGATAGCTATGAACCTCCTGGAGAACTTGGTATCTTAAGTTGCTGTTGCTGTTTCTCCAGTGGTTAAACCAACACCACCCCAAACCAACCAAACAAAAACCCTTTCCACTACTGTCCACAAGGTGGAGCTCTGAGAGAGGCTTCATCAATCTCTCCCCAGCAAAACCGTCCAAGGCAGGATGGCAATTCAGTCACACCAACGCACACAAATACTCACAGACCCAGGGTGTCTATAACATTGGTGTAGTGGATGCTTAGTCTTCGAGACACCTAGGATTGGGATCCCTGAGCACAGGGGCAGGACAGTTCTGGTGGAGGCACCCCCCCTGCTCCATTCTACCCAGGTGGCTCCATGTCCACAGCCGCCTCCCTCCTAGACACCAGAGCCTGTCTCACCTGGCTTCTTGTCCCCTCCCAATCCTTGCTCCACAGGACAATCAGTGACCTTTTACAGAGTCAAGTCTGATTATGTGATAGTAACTCTCATCATGGTCACTAGTATGCACTTAGGACAAAATACCCAAAACTTCGCAATTTCTGCAACAGCCTGTAGGATTTGGCCCCTGCCCCATCTCATGCCAGACTCACCTGGGGCACTCCCTCAGATCTCAGCTTAAGCCACCTCTGTCTCCACCTCCATTCCCATTAGGCCCCAGTGCCTGTCTCGGCACCTGGCCTTTGCCTGCCACTCTCTGTGATTGGCAGTTGCGTTCTCATTTGTGTGCTTATGAGCTAAACACCCAGCTGCCCACTGACCAGCCAGGCTCAAACAAGGCCGTTTCCAGACCCTTTTACATACTTCAACGTTATCAAGGATCCCAAAGGGCTTTTATTTACCTGGGTTAGAACTACTAACCTTTATTCCATTAGAAATCAAAACAAAAATTGGCTGAATAGTTATCTATTAATTCATTAAAAATAATAAAACTTAATACATACTAACCTTTAAAGGTATGTATGAGAAACAACTATATATTCCAAAGGAAAAAAGTCATGAAAAGAGGCATTATTTTACATTTCTATAAATATTGGAGGTTTTTTGTTTTGTTTTGTGTTGTTTTTGGTGTGGTGCTAGGGGATTGAACCTAGAGCCCTACTCATGCTAGGCAAGTGCTCTGCCCCTGGGCTACATCCCCAGCCCCTTTTCAAGTTGATTTTGAGACAGGCTCTTGCTAAGTTACTCCTCCTGCCTCA